CAAATGACAACGAAGATTAATAACGGACCGTATAGACAGCTTCGAGTAGACCCCTTACAGAACATAGTGAAAAGCGTTGAGAAAGCACTGAAGGAGTGTAAATCAATATTAGGAGATGGAGCAGGCCGTTTACGGGAATCCAATCCCATTCTACCCAGGATCAAAGGTCTCCCCAAAGTCCACAAACCGGGAAATGAAATGCGAGAGATCGTGTCTGCAGTTGGTTCCCCCACCCACAAACTAGCGAAGTGGTTAGTCACAGAGTTCCAGAGTATGCCGAATCAGTTCCAGAGTAAAGCAATTTGTAACACCCAGGAGTTCGCTTAGCAACTACAATCTTCAGGAGACATCAATGAGGACAAGAGTATGGTATCTTTCGACGTCACAGCTCTTTTTCCCAGCGTACCGGTCAAGGAAGCGATCAACCATTTGCAGGACTGGCTATTAACACAACGAGAGGATGCAGCATTAGCATTTAGCATTAGCATTATTGACCGCCCACGGTTGCTACTCTGTTATTACCAGATCAGCTGCAATTACACAGAGAACCAACAGATGATGTTTGGGACTAACATTCATTCTCAATGTGTAAAAACTGAAGATCTAATATTTAGCAATACCAGCGCCGGCCGTGTCCGAATGCAGGTCCAATAGGGAATGGGAAGGAATGTGTTGACGTGATACTCGCTGTGAAGGAAACCGAGAAATCCTCTGCGCTTCCACGAGAAATCACTGGGATGTTGGATGTGGGGAAAGGTTTGCACCTGCAGGGATCGTTTTTGGTAAACTAATGCTGATTGTAGTGATTTATAATAGGTACACAAACACAAAAACGCACGCATACACATGCACACACACGCACTCGTGAGTATAAACATAATATGAAATGAAATTTAATTGAATATTAACTTTATTTCAACTTAACTTTAACATAACTTCAACTTAACTTTAACTTAACTTTAACTTAACTTTAACTAAACTTTAACTAAACTTTAACTTAACTTTAACTTAACTTTAACTAAACTTTAACTTAACTTTAACTTAACTTTAACAAAACTTCAACTTAACTTTAACTTAACTTTAACTTAACTTTAACTTAACTTCAACTCAACTTTAACTTAACTTTATCTTAACTTTAACCTAACTTTAACTTAACTTTAACTTAACTTTAACTTAACTTTAACTTAACTTTAACTTAACTTTAACTTAACTTTAACTAAACTTTAACTTAACTTTAACTTAACTTTAACTTAAATTTTACTTAGCTTTAACTTAACTTTAACTTAACTTTAACTTAACTTTAACTTAACTTTAACTTAACTTTAACTTAACTTTATTTTAACTTGAACTTAACTTTAACTTAACTTTATTTTAACTTGAACTTAACTTTAACTTAACTTTAACTTAACTTTAACTTAACTTTAACTTAACTTTAACTTAACTTTAACTTAACTTTAACTTAAGTTTAACTTAAGTTTAACTTAACTTCAACTTAACTTTAACTTAACTTTAACTTAACTTCAACTTAACTTTAACTTAACTTTAACATAACTTTAACTTAACTTTAACTTAACTTTAACTTAACTTTAACTTAACTTTAACTTAACTTTAACTTAACTTTAATGTTACTTTAACTTTACTTTAACTTTACATTAACTTCTGTAGGCTAGATCATCGCTAAGCTGAAAAAGTGAATATTTATAATATAAATGCAAAATTCAATAATATAAATGAAATATTATAATATAATCCTAGAGGTGTTTCATCATCGAAGAGCTGAAAGCAAGCTTAAATAATTAAAATTCATACATCCCGCATGAATGTAAACTGAAAAAAAGTGTATTATTATCATGTAAATCTAATGTTCTCATATATTCAAATATTCAGCGATCTGAAAATAAACTTATCTTATTTAAAACAATGGATCTAACTTGAGTGAAGGCTGAGAAAAACCATTACGTTATAAATCTAAAGATGTTCCGTCATCAACGAACTCAAAAGATGTTTCATCATTGAAAAGCTGAAAATAAATTTTTAAAGAATAATATTTGTCGAGTAAAGCTATGCAAATAAAACGGCGTCCCCGAAAGCTGTTTATAATTTCACTTTAATAATGAATCAATAGCCAGAAAAATCGAGATTATTTGGACAGTTAACAGTTTTCATGCACTTGTTATAATGCATTACAATGTTTTTGTATTTTCCTAAACGAAGGCTAAAAAAGTGAACCATTATAATATTATTCTAAAAAATTTCCATCATCGAAGAGCTGAAAATAAACTTAAAGATTTAAATCAGTAAATCCAGCCCAAACGGAGGACTCGCGAACACAATAAGCTCCCCATAGATTGCTTATCGGGGCACATTTTGCGACACTTTTCCGGAAGTTCTGAGGTACTTTCCACTGGATAAAATCGCGAAACACGAAGCTGGCAGCCGCCCAGCGTTCAACACGTCGAAAAGACTCTTAACACAACGAGAGGATGCAGCATGGAGAAACAAGGTTCGGACTATGTGAACTTTCCATGGCCAAATTGGAGACAATTCTTAAGGAGAAAGGATTATTACCAAACCGTTGGTGGAGGTTAGTTGACGATATCTTCAGCGTAGTTAAAAGGGAAGCCCTTCCACAAATTTTGGATGAGAACAACATAATTCACAAGGATATCAAATTCTCTCACGAGGTAGAAAAAGACGGGAAACTCACATTTCTCGATATTCTAGTCATCAGGGAATCGTCATCATTATCTTCGCTTGAATACGAAATTTATAGGAAACCAACAAGCACGAAAAGAGTTATCCCCTATACTTCCAACCATTCGTTGCAGCAGAAAAAGGCCGCCTTCCACCTCATGATTTATCGGATGCAGACTCTTCCACTCAGCGATACAGGAAAGGTTAAGGAATTACAGTACATCTTCGAAACAGCGAGACTCAACGGATGCAAGGAGACCACAATCCAGGCAATCATTGATAAAAAAGCGAGAATTCTACAAAGGAGATTATTTACAACCCCTTACGAGTGTCCGTTCCATTTGATCAAGATATTACTTGTAAGCTAAGACCACAGTCAAAACAATTCGAATTAGATTTAGTTTTCACCAGTAGACATAACCAGTTGAAATCATTGTTAGGATCCACTAAAGACCCAGTTAATGTTTTAAGTAAAGCAGGTGTATATAAAATAAGCTGTAATCATTGTAACAAAGTATACGTAGGACAAACCGAAAGAGCTTTAGCAACTAGATTAGGCCTTTTCCTCTTGCTTTTTGACTTTAGTAACCTTCGCTATATGTACTTTACCATATAGCGAAGGTTACTAAAGCCAAAAAGCAAGAGGAAAAGGCCTAACATATGATTTCAAATCAAAGCTGGCAGAACACATCTTCACAGAGGACCACCAACTATCGACGGAGGACATCACGATTTTACGACCCGTATCTACACCATGGAAACTGGATGTTGCAGAGAGCTTCGAGATCAACAAACAACGGAATTCAACTTTATTCAACAGGGAGCAAGGAAACGGACATACATTACGGCTTTTCAAGTTACTACCTAGGAAACATCAACGAGTAAGCAGCGGTATATAGGGTAGAGAACTACTTCGGCCAAATCGCCCATTTTGGGCCTATCGAACAGAAAACTTCAAATAAATCCATGATTTCAGAGTTAACAAGTCAATTATGCGTTTGGTACGATACTCTAGTTAATAAGCTTCCAAACGAAGTTAACGAGAACACGTGATATGAAGGTTTGCACCCATTATTCCCAAATACAAATGAAGCGCTCCGACCGAATCAATTTTTATGTTCATCCGATAGGCCGAAGTGAATTCATTGGCGTTTCAATGGCGTTTCAATGCGTTAGGCCGAGTTTAGAATCCGTAGGCCGAGTTTGGCGTCAAGAACCAGTGTTTGAATTTTGACTATATCTCAACGATTGGTTTCTCTTTATCAAATCTTGCGGTACGTACGGAAAGGTAAATAACTTTAGAAGCCATCAGTAATAATAACATTCCGTTTGGTGCTAAACTGCGCTAGATTAAGAAAAACTAAGTGCGGGTTGTGCTTAATAGGCCGGAAATGGGGTAGTTAACCCTATATATATATATATATATATTCGGTAAAATGCGATATTTTTCTTCAGTCGAGTATTAGTACAAGACACTGAAGAAGTCTGCACATTGTAGACGAAATACGCGTATCTGTCAAGGATAAGCAAATAAGGTAGTGGAATTAAATGGAAATTACTAATCTTTCTCTCTCTCTCTCTTTATACAGGTATTCCACTAAGACGGCCACATTCATCAGGATTCCTAAGAATCATCTAAAGGTGATTTTTCACGGAAAAATAAAATGAAAAATGTTAGCGCTAAACGCTGAATTTTTCAGGACCACTCTAAGTCAAATTACTGCAAAATGAGAACGGCAAGAGAAAGAAAAACATATTTCTTCAGCAAAGTAGCTTGAAATTATCTTCATTCCTTTATTTAACGTCGGTCTCTGTACCGCAATTTAGTGCCAATCACCGACGGTCATCGATTGCCATCCATTGACGGCAATCGAATGTGCAGGAAGGCAGCTTCCACACCTGCGTAGGATATCGCACCCATTCATCAACACACATGGGCCGGGACCAACGGCTTTACTTCCCTTCCGAAGGAAGACGTGACCAGAGAAATCTTATCGAACTCGGCTGGGATTGAACCCAGACCCATTGGGATGAGAAAGTAGTCACGCTTACCACTCCACCACCTATAAAAAACTTACTCAGCGCTGAGTTCCTGCACTTTTCGCGATTTATGAGTAAACTGAACCCAAATTTGAGGTGATCTAATTGGCCGTGAAAAATATGGGGAAAATCCCCTCATTTAAATGGTGAAGGTTTCGGGAATGCCAATATTTATTGTTTAATTTTTTTCTATTAAATATACCGTGCTAGTGTCGGCATCAGTTAAAACTATCAATCTAGCGATTTCAAATCACACTCATCAATTCTCACCCCATTGCGAACGGCGACTGAGCATTAGTCGTCAGATGATAGAAACCGCTCACTCCTTTTCCATAGTTCGATGGTTCACCTCCCAGCAGTGCATTCGGTCCACTTTCGGTGCACACTCCGGCAAGAATCTCCTCATGCGATGCACAGCGCTGGCCTACGAATCCCAGCGGTGATCCGATGGACTCCGCAAAGTACTGGTGAGCTCGCGTATGGGCGCAGTTTCCTGTAATATCAATCCCACAACCCGGTTGCGTTCGTCCTCCGTTGGGGTAGAAGTTCGCATGTCCCAGTGGAAGGTCAAATCCTAGCAATCCCGAATTTGTATAAATGGCTTCCACGTATTGACCATCACTTTCGTGTATGATATCCGGCTGACCAAGCGAAAACAACGGACCGGCCGGGTCCATTCCGATGATCGTGTTGATTCGACCGTGTTGGAATTTGCCAGCGTTTCCGGCGCAGTGAGCTCCCAAACTGCTACCGGTCACAGAAACACTTTCCAGCGAAGCTCCACTCGTCTCCACCATCATATCGATGAAACGGGATACTATTTCTCCTACGGGACCAACACGATTCCTAGCCTGCACATAGTTGATGGTCTGAGCCCCGGCACCCCAATCGACGTTGATTACGTTGAACTCGTCCAGTGCGAGTAGATTCTCCCGAATCAATCCATGCATGTTGGCATCCTCTCCACTGACCCATCCATGAATAGTGAACCGGGTCGGATGAGCCGGGTTGAAGTTGGAGTTGAGAAGCGATTCCGGGTTGTCCCATTGTATGATTTGCGGAGACTGTGGATTGGATCTGGTGAACAACCGGAAGATGACGTCCGTTTCCGGATCGAACAAAGGTTCGACGACATCCAGATCGTGCGGTTGATCTACTGGGGAGACGTCGATCATATGAAGATTGCCGGCATCATCTGGCACTAGGTTCCATCGCGGTGGGTTGCAACTGGCAATGGTTACTGTAAATGTTGTTGGTTGCAGTTTTGGTCTAACTCGAGGTTACAGGAATAGCTTACCCAAAAAAAGCAGGGGCAAGCAATTCGAAAGTCTTGCTCGGATCATCGTTGAACTGTAAATGTTTCAAAATACAGATTCCAGAGCACCAGCTTATCGTAGAGCGATGGATTTGTTTTTAAGCTGTTTGGCGATGGGCTGTTGTTTGATTTGAAACATGGGTAGGTTAAGATAAGTGTTGAAGATAATGGGTTCACATTTGAGAACTGTTATCGAGTGTTTTAGAAATCAAATATGATAAAGTCACATTCGCCTTTGATATTTTGAACCTTTAAACATATTAATGGCGAATGTGACATCATCATCTGGGCAAATGCAGAAGGCTATCAAGGTTTAAGGGGACGACCAAGGAAAATTTCGAGCGCTTTTCGAATAGTTCCAACAGACACATTGTAGGACTATCTTATCAAGAAGCGAGTATCTTAATTTACGAAAAGTACACCCCACACGACAGTAGTTTCGTTAATATTTCCATCAATATTTAACAATATTTTCGTGTGGTCATCAATACAGGGTCGCTCCTCACTCAAATTGTTGTATCCGAGGGAAAATTCCGAGTCAAATAACAACCACCTTGGCAAAAGAAAGGGAAAATGAGGGGAAGTATTGCAACATGAAATATTTTTTTAAATTTTGCCTTAATATTTGCGTAAATATGATTGACAATCTCGTTCTGTTCTTACCCATAGGTACAACTAGCTTTCCTGCAGCTGGGATCGGGTGTTTCTCAATTTTCTGCGAGTAAAACACACGCTGTTGCTGTTCATTTTCAAAGAGATGTGAAAGAGCATTTTAAATCGTGCAGCACATCTCATTCTTCTTGTGCTGGAGAGCTACCGCTCCAACGCAGTATAGGATTTCTGGCGGACAAAAATCTAAAAACCGACTCTCCCCGATCCTTTTCTCAAAATTTCCTATCGAATCTTAGTAAGTGAGCATTTTTCCATAAAAACATGCTTTTATTCAAATCAATTTGAGACAATTATTAGCAAAGAACTACAGGGTTATTTAAAATCGTTCGAAAGGTAATTCAAAAAGCCTTGCAAATGCATAATAATTTTTGAAATTTTTTGAAATATATTGTAAAAAAAAAGAAAAAAATAACGTATATTAAAAAAAAAGGTCGTAAGTTTGAACTTTGTGGGTCCAGAACTTTTGATTCCTGCTCATTCCCAGGCTAAATATTAGCTTTGAGTCATGTTCTGAGTGTATCCTAACAGGTGCTGCAGATTACTGTTGCCCAAACTTTTTCGGTCACTATGGGAGATACCAAGTCATTAAATAAAGTCAACATCTGATTTGTGATTTCTGGAGCTTCCATGGTTGGAACGATCAAACTTGCATGTTGTACAGGCTCAATCGAATAAACTTTACAGAGCCAAATTATCATTTGTGATCAAGGGGTGAGACAGCTTTACTCTGAGTTCTGTTTTTGCTGCGAGTAACTCGTGAGTAACACAATGTACCTCAAAATTAAATTGACGTTCATCGATTTACTGTCTGTTTACTCCTCGACTTACTCCGTTTATTGCCTTCATATATTAGGCGACAGTCTTGTTTGTAAACATAATAAATTTCTCGCGTCACTTTTCAATAGGCCCTTTCTGCATTGATCGATTCTCTTCATCGACTTTCTCTTTGGATCGTCACGGCCGTGTTAAGATATTTCCGGATATTTTGAACACCCATATCGATGGAAGACGCAACAATCTAGCATCTAATACGACAAAGACGACAGGAAATGTTTTTGTAGCCGAGTTATTTACGAAAGAGAGAGTCGATGAAGAGAATTGAGAATTGAGAGAATGTAGATTGGTCTATTTGAAATCGGAATAGTTAACCTTAATGACACGACGAGAGCGGGATGGTCAGCATCTAGACTGATCAGTGGCCGGTAATGCGAAATCATTTGCCAGGACAAGATCTAGCAAACGTCCGTTTCGGTTTGGAAAAGTGTTTACTTGACTAAACCCGTGTAAGTTGAATCCGTACAAAACAGTACAGCAAGCCACCGGCATATGCGATAGCAGTGGGTCAATGAATGGTGTGCCGCTGTCGGTAAAGCGCCACTGTAAACCAGCTTGCTTGTAGTCGCCAAATAGTAGTGCGGGAGAGCGGGGACTCAATCGAGACCTAACGATGATGTTCACGGATGATCGTGCAGTCGGCAGGTAGACAGCGCCAATACTGAGAATGTAAGTGATCCGAGGTTGCGATGCATAGATCCGGTCATCCAGTTACGTTACCGTCAGTACGATCAAATCCAACAGCTAAGAAAAACGAGTCGATTTTATTCCTCAGCCCACGCACGATCCCGGGAGCTGGAAATCGAAGGAAATTTAGGACCAAAAGTTCAGAATTGCAGCCATACTCGCCTGGAGTTTTTTTTTCCGCCTGGAGTTGTAGTCCGGAAGCCCCCGATTTTTGTTGTTATTTTGCTTGACAGCAGATTTTCGGCTTCGCACCTCCATATGTTGCTGTGATACGAAAAATGAGAAAGCAAATCTAGATAGAGCTGGAATTAGGGCGTAACAGCTTTTGTAAACAATGACTTCTATTGACGATTTCTAGGAATTCAAGGTACGCCCACGCAAACCAACATAAGCATTAGATAGATGAAGCCTTCCCCTATCCGATGGTTTTCTAGAATGCTTCGAAAGAAGTCATTGTTTACAAAAGCTGTTACGCCCTAATTCCAGCTCTATCTAGAAATGACAAAGTGAGTTACTCGAGGTGCCTCAAAAGCAACTCTGAAATTGCTTATGATTAGGAGCTGTCTTGCCCCTTGTTTGTGTTATACATTATTAACATCTTAAATCTAAGTTAAAATCAAAAGTTAAAGGAATTGAACCGAGTACTCGCGGTCGTCTCGAGGTTAGTGGAGATTTACAGTTTCATGTAAAGAGCCTGAATTTTTAAAGAGACGACATGTCAAAATTGGAACAATCGATTGTCTGTCAAAGTCATAGGAAAAGTCATTCCAATCGAGCAGAAGACCTGTCAAATGGATAAGATGTCGCCTCTTTATAAATTCAGGCTCTTTAGTTTCATGGATCGGGAGAGGGAGAAGGAGGTTTGACATATGATTTACGATACAAATGTTTCATTATTCCTAAAACATGAACTTATTCCTATTCAACTTGATATCAGCACTCTAATTACTCTATTATTACAAGACAAACACTAAAAAAAAAAACACACACACACAACCAAAATACAAACTAAACACAAGGTTAATCAAACTTACAATCTAAGGTTAGTATTCTTCAAGAAAACATAAATGAGCTTTATAAACTCCAGATCGCGTCCAGCCAAAACATCCCGAACTGGATCATTAGGTTGTCAACCTTGAGCCCGAAGAGAATCATATAGCTCAGATCTGACTGCTTTCATGATGTAGCACATTTTAAAAACATTTCATGACCAACATTTGAAAAAGGCCTAACTTATTTCTCGATGCGAGTGGAAGTCTTTTATGAAAGTTTACAGCTATAATCATTATTTCCGAAACTCGTTGTTTGATGGCCGCGGTAGCTACCTAAACTTTGAGTTTTATTTAGTACGTATAAAAGTGCATACACACTATAAATGGATTATGTGTAGTAGATACCTGCGATCAGTTTTATTTGTACCAAAAAATGTATTAAAATGTAATTCGAAAGCTGTTAGCTGTTACGAATAGCAAGCGCCCTTTACGATCATCACGAGCAGCTTGTCGACCTGATATCACCCCTGGAATCCCGATGAGTGTTGGTGGTAACCCTGCAGGGAAGTGACAGATGCCAATGACACCACAGCGACTCGTGAGTATGAAAAAAAAAAGAACAAATGATAAAAGTGAAAACTAGCAGAACACATTTCTATGCGATAGAATTTCAAGTTTTGTTACATTTATAATTGAATTTAAATGCTAAATTAGTTGTTAAACCTAAACTATTTACATGAACTAAAGATATAGCCTACAAACGAAGAATCAGTACGATCACAATTGAACACAATAACCTTACTTAAAGCTAATCTGGATGCACACCGGTAAGAAACTAGTGACAAACTGGAAATTTCTTCTAAAATTAGAGATTAAAACTACTTACAGCAAGAACGAACTTAAAACCTGACTAGAACGTGAGAACAAATCTCACTTAGGGGAAACTAAGCGTAAGTTAAAGCTACTCAATTATTTAAAACTATAATGCCTATGCCTAAACATAACCTAAACCAGTATACTGTACTAAAATTATGTATTCTCTTTGAATCACTCTTTCCTGATCCACACAGTAATCTCCGCAATAAAGAGTGTAATTATATACGACTGATCTGGAGATTATCATTACGGAGGAATTCCTCCTTTCGGTCGTGTTGCGTTAAACCACAATAGCCATAATTTACAGTTTAGTACAAGTGTTAACAAGGATAATTGAGCACTATATGTTTTGTATTGCTTCTGCGTGAAGTCAACGATTTACATAGTTGAAGATGCTAATTTCAAATAACAGACTAAAGTGGTAATTTTTGTACGATAGATGAGGAGATGAAAGTAATAGAGTTGATAGTTCCGTTAGATTACGGCAGTGTGAAAATTGTACATAGCGAGTAGAAAGCGAGCAAGGACAACTTTTTAGGAAGGTACAAATCGGTTTGATCATCTCTCTTTACCAAACTCCCCGTTGGAGAGGGATTGTGAGGGGTATTCCCCCCCGCCACCACTGGCAAAAAGAGATGATCGCCGACTAGCTCATGTGCCGACGATGTGTTTGAAACAGTTCTATCGATTTTACTGCACTCAAGTTGTTATCTGAAGCAAGGCATCCAGTCGTAGGTTTGGAAATTGCAGCTATTGTTACCTCTACCAAGGATACCTTTGGTTTGAGGTACCAATTTGTAAAAAAAGGAGAGACTTCGGATGTTAATCTAAATGCAGGAACAAGACATGTTTTTTAGTGTTCGGTACACTATCTTGTAATCTGTGAAAGGGAAATCACAAATCGAGTGTCATCAAAATACATGGCATGTTGAAAGATTGAGGTCGTGAGAGCAAATTTTCTCTCTCAAATTTGAATTTTTTGGCTCTCTGGGGACTGGTAGTAAAGCATCTAAAAATATGTGGGGAAATATCATTTTTATTTAATTATAGCTTGTTTAACAATAATTTCTCTCCATTCGCCTGAAAATAACACACAATCGTCTTCTGTTTCAATCCTCTAACATTTGCAGTCAGTGAGATATCGATTGTCAAAGTAGAAAAAACTGCAGAAAAAGTGTGCATTTTTCCATAAAAACATGCTTTTACTCAAATCAATTTTGGTCAATTATTAGCAAAGAACTACAGGGTTATTTTAAATCGTTAGAAAAGTAATTCAAAAAGCTGAAACGAACACATAATCGTCTTCTGTTCAATGAGCCGGCTGCACTAAAATATTACTTGTTAACAGCTGAAGAAGGAATTACTGTTGGTGACGAACGTTTATTCTGTTTGCAGCCTGCTGTAATTGAATTTTGGTGAATAAGTAATACGCTCGCAGTCTGCGAAGGGTCCGCAGGTCGCCTTCTTCTTGGTCGATCCACCTTACCCGTTTCACGCCTTTTCTGCTTGTTTCAGTTGGGTCGCCCATCCCACCGTATTCGGAGCATACTTTTTTCCTTGGTTTGTTTTCGTCGATCTTGCTTTCCGTACTGAGAACCAATGCTGCCGACACCAGGAAAGAAGCTCCCACACCTGAACCCTACCTATCGACCCATCAACTCATGGATCGGAAACCATCGGCTTTACTTCCCGTGATCAGAGATTTTATGCCTCAGAAAGTCTCGACGGCGCCGACTTGGATTAAACCCAGGCCTTTTGGAGTGAGAGAAAGTCACGCTTACCACTACACCACCGGGTTGCTGGAATATGCTTTCTATTGACCTGGCCTTTTGATGGTGCTCAGCTTTCAAGATTCAGTTGTGAGGTTACCAAGCACACAGCATTTGAGAGTTCTCCGTTGATAGGCACCTCATTTCGCTGCTATATAAAAGCACATAATTCGGGTTCTGATGCATTCATTAATCTAGTATATATGATTCCAAACATTTCGTAAACTTGGAATAACAGTCCTATCCTTACCCTTAAGATTCACCTTCTTCTGTATTCCTACCGGTGCGTAAAATTTTATGTTTTGTCATAATTCCCAGGAACCTTAGATCCTAGGAATAATTTTGAGGTCTTCCTGTCATTTAGGAATCCTAATTTGGGTATCAACAATCCTTGTTCAAGTGTGGCTCTCAAGCATCTAAAATCTACGAGAACCTTTCCTTTAATCGAGTTGATTGGTAATCGAAATATGCTTATCACTGATTCTCTCTAAAGCGTCAATCCAGTGCAATTGCAATTTGGAAATTACAAACCTCATTTCCCTTGTCCCTGCGATGGTTATCGCTTTCAATCTAAAGAAAAAACGTCGACGCTAATCTTAACACCCTGTATGCGTCAGTCGTCTTCTGCGTGGTAGCACCAAAGACAAACATACGTAACTCTTCATTATGGATCATCACACATAGTTGATAGCTCGGTTGATAGTATCCCGATTTACCAACCGCAGCGCTGGCATCAGAGCATTTCGACGTTTCTATACAATCTGTTTAACTTGTTAACAACATTGTTTGCGACTTATCAAGCAACCTTATGCTCCGCGGATAGCTCGCAAGGTGTAGTTAGTTTAATTCGTGAGTATGCTTTGAAGGAAAAATTGTTCACCGAGTTACGTCTGTTTGTCTGTGGTAGCTCTAAGAGGTAAAAAAGAGGGAAATACCGCTTGTCCTGATAGGATTAGTCGAAAATCTATAAAACGTGTACCGGTGCCTGCATCGCCGCTAGTCTATTGAAATGAAAGTTGCAGCTGCCCTAACATTACTCGCCTGTTGTTTGGCCGTTGGTAAGAATACGATTTTCGCGAATGTTCTTCAAAATTGAGGTCTAATTTGAATCTTATCGGTTCTAGGCTACTGTCAGGGACCGGAGGAACCTGAACCGTGGAGGGGTGTATCTGATCCAGCAGAACCCGAACCATGGAAAGCCGTTTCTGATCCAGCCGAGCCTGAACCGTGGAGGGGTGTATCTGATCCCGCTGAACCCGAACCATGGAAAGCCGTTTCCGATCCAGCCGAGCCTGAACCGTGGATGGGTGTATCTGATCCCGCAGAACCCGAACCATGGAAAGCCGTTTCTGATCCAACCGAGCCTGAACCATGGGCACTGATTCCGGACGGTGCGGGTCGTATGCACATGGTCAACATCAACCCGGTTGACGTACCGGAGGGAGAGGATGAAGTCGAACCACTGTTCACCCCGGAAACTGACGTTATCTTCCGAATGTACAGCAGACGCAATCCGGTGCATCCGCAGATAATTCGGTGGGACGACCCCTCATCGATTTCCAACTCGAACTTTGACCCCTCAAATCCTACTCGCTTCTTGATTCACGGTTGGGTTGAAGGAGAAGATGCTACGTTGCATTGGGTTATCAAGGACCACTATTTGCGTGTCGGAGACTTCAACGTGATCAACGTCGACTGGGGTGATGGAGCTCAGACAATTAACTACATTGCCGCGCGTAACCGTGTTGGTGGAGTCGGAATGATTGTGTCCCGGGTGATTGACGTGATTCGTGCTACCACCGGCCAATCGCTGGATATGATTAACGTTATTGGATTCAGTTTGGGAGGCCATGCTGCTGGAAACGCTGGCAAAGGACAGAATGGTCAATTGAACTCGGTTATTGCTCTGGATCCAGCTGGTCCGTTGTTCTCGCAAGGTCAGGCCGATACCTTGGCCGCAACCGATGCCATTTATACGGAAGCTATCTACACGAATGCTGGTAATTTGGCGTTCGATGCCCCGTTGGCACAAGCCAATTTCTATCCGAACGGAGGACGTTCGCAACCGGGTTGCATCACGTCGATTTGCGCGCATAACCGAGTTAACGAGCTGTTTGCCGAGTCGGTATCGACTGCCAATCACTTCGTTGCGATGGAGTGTGCCAACTACAATGAAATTCTGAATGGAGGTTGCTCATCCGTTGGACCGTACGCCAAGATGGGTGGAGAACCGTCGAACCGTGGACGTGGAGTGAGTGGTGTGTACTACCTGCGCACGAATTCAGCTTCGCCTTTCGCCAGAGGTTGAAGACGTTGTGTTACATGTTTACGTTATCGGAGAGCTGCTTGGAGGGTTAATAAAGAATGTTGAAATATTTTTTTTTTAAATCTGTAGATTTCTTATAAATTGCATAAAGTTTTCGCAAAGTATGGGGATGATGATTTATATTTTGGAAGCATTTTTGAGACTCTGTTGATACATCCGAAATGTAATAAAATACATTGTATCAAGCAACAGACTTTGAAACCCTCCAACAAATATTAATTAACTGTGCGTAAACCAAAAATATGAAGTAGATTGGCCAAACCAGTGCAATTACATTTTTGAATTTGCGAACGTCATTCCGAGTGTTATTTACCTCCTGCCCGTGCCATTTTTATTACCTCTAATCTGGAAAACAGCAACGGTTATCTTAACCCCCTGTACACATAAAGTCCTGATTTGCACGGTTGCTCAAAAAAGCGGATTACGCTTTACTGCGATAAGATTAGCCGAAAATCTATAAAACAGTTACCGATGTCCGCATCGAAGCTAGTCGGTTTGTATCGAAAAATGAAACTCGTAGCTGCCCTAACGTTACTCGCCTGTTGTTTGGCCGTTGGTAAGAATATGGCTTTCACGAAAGTTCTTCAAGAGTCGGGTCTTATGTGAATCTTGTCGGTTTTAGGCTACTGTCAGGGATCGGTGCAATCTGAACCTTGGAAAGTCGCTTCGGATCCAGCTGAACCCAAACCATGGGCACTGATTCCGGACGGTGCGGGTCGTATGCACATGGTCAACATTGACCCGGTTGACGTACCGGAGGGAGAGGATGAAGTTGAACCACTGTTCACCCCGGAAACCGACGTTATCTTCCGAATGTACACCAGACGCAATCCGGTGCATCCGCAGATAATTCGGTGGGACGATCCCTCATCGATTTCCAACTCGAACTTTAACCCGTCAAATCCTACTCGCTTCTTGATTCACGGTTGGGTTGAAGGAGAAGATGCTACGTTGCATTGGGTTATCAAGGATCACTACTTGCGTGTCGGAGACTTCAACGTGATCAACGTCGACTGGGGTCAGGGAGCTCAGACGATTAACTACATTGCTGCACGTAACCGTGTTGGTGGAGTTGGAATGATTGTGTCCCGGATAATTGACGTGATTCGTGCTACCACCGGCCAATCGCTGAATATGATTAATGTCATTGGATTCAGTTTAGGAGGCCATGCTGCTGGAAACGCTGGTAAAGGACAGAATGGTCAATTGAACTCGGTTATTGCTCTGGATCCAGCTGGTCCGTTGTTCTCGCAAGGTCAGGCCGATACCTTGGCCGCAACCGATGCCATTTATACGGAAGCTATCTACACGAATGCTGGTAATTTGGCGTTCGATGCCCCGTTGGCACAAGCCAATTTCTATCCGAACGGAGGACGTTCGCAACCGGGTTGCATCACGTCGATTTGCGCGCATAACCGAGTTAACGAGCTGTTTGCCGAGTCAGTATCGACTGCCAATCACTTCGTTGCGATGGAGTGTGCCAACTACAATGAAATTCTGAATGGAGGTTGCTCATCCGTTGGACCGTACGCCAAGATGGGTGGAGAACCGTCGAATCGTGGACGTGGAGTGAGGGGTGTGTACTATCTGCGCACGAATTCGGGTTCGCCATTCGCCAGAGGTTGAAGACGAAGCATAGTGTGTTATCTGTTTACGTTATCGGAGAGCTGCGTGGAGAATTAATAAAGATTTTTCAATTGATTTTTAAATCGTAAGTCTTTGTTTTCACGTTTCGAACTGTTTTTAAGAAGGGAGGAGGAGAGATAAAGAATATGTCGTCAAATTTTCTGGCATGGGTACTGCTGTTATCTACCTGAAATGATTAATCAGCCAAAGAATCAATGTTGATTAATAGAACTGCACATTCGAAGTCCAGGTCATTGATGTTTCCAATTACAATGTTGACAAAAAGCTTTGGTGTTGGGTTGTGCGAACCGAACGATTGTATAAGTGGAATAGAGATGTTCTAGATGTTCTGGATGAGGACTTCTAGACATTTCAGAAGGTCAGTGGGGTTATGACACCACATACAAACAGACATAACTCTTTAAACATCCTTTTCTTCAAAATATCGTCATGAAACTCACTGACGACATCTCGTAAGCTATTTGCGGAAAACAATAATAAGTCTCGAACAATTTTGCATACAAGTTCAAAATATTGTATAGAACCGTCAAGGTTCTCTCGATGGAGATTACTGTAAGGGGATGGGTTTTCGTGTCTTCTCTTTAATAATTGTTAGGAAGTCCGTTCAGCTTCTTGGCGTCACCGATGGAATCGATATCATGGCACGATACTTGGAGACGATGGCGAAAACGTACATCAGACTGAAGGTTGAAGTCAATCGAATTAGACTCGACATCGAAGATAAAATACATTAGAGGCAGAGAGTCAAGAGAAGATAGTGTTGGCCTCTCACTACAAACTCGGATTGAAGGCGATGAAATCGAGGTTGTCGACGAGTTCATGCATTTGGGCTCACTGGTGACTGCCGATAATGACACGAGTAGAGAGATTCGGAAATACATAATGGCTGGCAGTGCTGTATAATCGAGCAAACACTGCTAAACTGAAAAAAAGAAGCTAAAAGTCATCTCCAGGGGGAACCTATCACAATCCTGTCAGTGACGAACATGTGCAGTTTTTGTTATTAGCTAAGTTTGTAACGAAATTAAATGAATTCATCAAAACAATTTCATGGAGTTGCTAAAGTAAACAAGCATCTTCGTCCTTAACTGCGTGGATAACAATAACGTGATAAAAAATACAAACAATTACATTTTTGTTACCAGATGAATCTTTGTCATTGACGAAAAAATCAATTCTTCCACTAAAAGTTAAATGCATATTCAATGGAGATTCTAAAATCGAGACGCCCCTAGTAGTTAATGTTAAATTTGGCACAAATTGACACGATATTTCACGTAAATGTATGGGCAATACATATTGCATACATGAGTTTGTAAACAATGTTGTTGTTTATGCCGACTGTTGTTCAAAATTAAACATTAACATTCAATTTTTTTTTCAGTTTGTACGATAATTGAAAATGAAGAGGTATGTCTGTTCGTCTGTGAAAAATGGTTACTTTGGGTATCTTGAACGATGACTGGGATCGATACTTGTTTCTTCTGAACGATTCGAATTTCGGATGGTGATTGCAATTTGTATTGGACGGTCGCAGCATGACGGGCGATGTGGTGACTGCTTCGGAATAAGGAAGGGCTGAAAGTCTCTTTAATAAAGAAAGAAGAAGATAATAGTAATAAGGAAGAGGTTGATACTCTGCTTCACACTTGCGGATATCGAAGTAAAGCGAATAAAGATCAAATAATCAAAATCAGATGTTCGTATAATCGTTTATTAATCCTATTCAGTCGTTAATCCTATCTAACCCAAATGTTTTTTTTTTACTTATCCCATGGCAAACGGCGAGGCACCGTTAGTATTGAATCTGAAGATTCCATTCACTCCCCGGCCTTGATTCGATGGTTCACCACCCATTGGCGCATCCGGTCCACTGGAGGTACAGCCACCGGCCAGCACTTCGTTGTGCGACGCACACCTAGTCGCTCGGAAGCCCACGGAGGTCGACACTGATTCGGCAAACAATTCGTGAGCTCGCGAATGTGCACAGTTACCGGTCAAATCGACTCCACATCCAGGTTGCGATCGGCCTCCGTTCGGGTAGAAGTTGGCATGTCCAAGTGGCAGATCGAATCCCAGCGTTCCAGCGTTGGAGAATACGGCTTCCACATATTGAGCGTCACTCGGTTCCATGATGTCTGGTTGACCCAGTGAGAACAAAGGACCTGCCGGGTCTAACCCTACGATTGTATGAATTTGGCCTTGTTGCAGCTTTCCTGCATTTCCAGCCGCGTGAGCTCCCAAACTATGTCCAATCAAACTGATACTGTTTCGGGAAATACCCGAAGCCGAAACCAACGTGTTTACCATCCTTGAAGTCATGTCTCCAACCGATGCAACCCGATTTCTAGCAGTGATGTAGTTGATAGTGTTCGCTCCTGCTCCCCAGTCCACATTGATTACGTTGAACTCACCTGCGATGAAGTAGTTCTGACGGATATTGCTATGCAGTCCGGAGTTTTCTCCACCATTCCAACCGTGGATGGTGAAACGGGTGGGATGAGCCGGATTGAAATTGGAATTCGTTACCGTAGCCGGATTGTTCCATTGCAACACTTGTCCATGGACCGGATTCGACCGAGTGAACAACCGGAATATGACGTCCGTTTCGGGAGTGAAAAATGGCTCGTATTGTTCGTCGACCACGGTGTACGGATCCGGATTGACTAGATGCATGTTTCCTGCATCATCCTGAATCAGTGAAAGTCGCTGCTCAATGGGACTCGCCAAAGCTGTAAAGAATGATGATCGCTATTTAGGTTCGTCTGAATATGGAATACAGATGCCAAAAATCTCACCTCCCAGTGCCATCAGCACCAAAATACCCACTGTAGTCTTCATAGTCGTTTAAAATTCAAGTGCCCGTCCCTTTCGGGGGGGCAATGGCATTATATATATAAACGCGAGTTCCAGCAATAATCTTATCGTGATTTTGACGTTGTCGTTGACGATCGTACGACGCGCGGTAGTGGTTTTTACCCAAACCGACGTCATTTGGCGGATAATCAATCACTAATTTGCACGTACGGTAGATTAAAGTCGCACGGGTTTACAGTCTGGTTCATTTTTATGCATGCGTTTAGTTCTAGAAACCTTATCTCTGTTCTAATGCAAATGAAAATAAATTCGATAAGGTTGGAGCAATCCATCAAAATGGGATCGATTCATAGCTTTCACAAGTTGTACTGTTTGTTCAGACGTTGCGTTTTTTGTCCATCAATCAATGCGTGAATTTCAGTAGTAAATTTAATGAGGCGAGCATAACGATACGTTTTATTCAGGCAAGGGGAGGAAAATTTCACGGAATAGTTTTAAGGTCTCGTTCAAGTTCTAGACAATGTTTCAGTCCAGAGTTTTCCGAAGTCTGAGGATTTTTAAAGATTTTTTTTCTATGTCCCTGAACTGATTTTTTCAGTCACAAAAGTTTTTCGATGCCACGATCTTTAAATTTTCGTTTTTACTACACTACACCGGTGTAGTTTAAGCAGCAATAAGCGCGAGTCATTGACAGCTCATCATCATTTGTTTGTAAACAAAGGTGCAACCGAAAGCTACACCCTAAAATGTTTCGGTGTTCGGCGGTGTCGGCTACACCACAAACACGAAAACGACATTGGGCCAGGTCTTAGCAAACTGGGTGTACAAGCTCATTTACAAACAACAAAAAAAGAAAATAAAACTCAAGTTTCGAACATTTGCCAAGTCCCGTGATTTTCTATGTTTTAAGGTTATACGATCCAGCGTTCACAAATCATACACCCTTAGAATTTTTTTTACAGAATTCGGTAAACAAAAGCACCGAAATTGATCTGTAAAAAGCATATTAAAGATTGTTCGGTAAAACTTAAATATTTTTCATCAAATTGTCTCAGACTTACCGAAATACTGTAAATAAAAACAAATACCAAACAATCTGTAATGTTGTCAAATCTGAAAAGCAAAACTAAAGAGCCTAAATTTATAAAGAGGCGACATGTCAAAATTGGAACAAGTCGTAAGAAAAGTCATTCCAATCGAGCAGAAGACCTGTCCTTTATTCACGATTTGTTATCAACAGGGAGTTGGCATTTCCACTTTCCCCGTTCAAATCGCTTCAATCGGGTGCCCTGTTGAACCGTTCCTTCCCTTTTATATATGCATATACGAGATTGTTAATCTTAAAAAAAAAACATGGGAAGAAGTGGGAACCCTATTTAAATTTTGGGATCTTTGTAGAAGTTAAACATTATTTAATTTCAAGGAACCTCATTATCGTTCGGGGATCTTTATATTATTTCAGGATACTTTCTTGAAGCCTCATAATCTTGGAATAGTTAAGGGAATTACGGTACAAGTTCAAGATATTCCATACGTTGAACTTCGTGGAAAATCAACGAGAAACGTAGAAGTGCTGCATACTTTGTAGAAGTTTTGGGAATTTAGTAGCATTTTGAGAAGCTGCATAAAACTTCATAGAAGTGCAGGAAATGTTGCAGAAGATCTAAAGATAGTTCAGCACACTTCTAAGATCTTCAGGGATCCTCACTTTAGCGTGGGGAGCTTCGTTACAGTTTGTCAGAGATATTACTTAAAGAAAGCTCAATGAACTTCTTGGAAGAATATTGGCAGACGATGAGGGTCTTTCCAGAAGTAATCGTAGAATTAAGAGAGATGGAAAAAATATGGAATATGTAATAATCTCAGGAAACTTCGAAGAAGTTGACGAATTTTTTTTTTTTTTTTTTTATAATCCATTTATTTGTCAAGGCTCAAATGCGTTAGCTTTGCGGAGCCGAATATTTTTACATAATTGTGTGTGAATATCATTTTCTTACAACTAATGTTAGTAGAACGGGGGCCGATTACTCGCGGTTTACTCGAGATTAGGGATTACATTTATTTATCATTTGGAGGGAGGACAAGGGAAAGCATTTTGAACTAATTTAAAACTTAAACGTAAAGGATGACTAAAACACAAAACACTAAACACATAAATCAACAGCTTTAAGAAAGTCGTAAATAAGCTTCATAAAGTCGATATCACGGCAAGCCAAGACGTCTCTAATTGGCTTAAAGGGTTGTTTTCCTCGGACCCTAAGGGAATCACACAGAACGGATCTCGCCTCATGATGCAAGGAGCAGGACCAAACAACATGCTCGATGTCGTGATAACCGTTTCCACAGGTGCACAAGTTGCTGTCGGCAAGCGTAATACGGAAGAGGTGGGCGTTTAATGAACAGTGATTGGACATGAGCCTGGACATTACACGAATAAAATCACGACTCATATCCAACCCTTTGAACCAGGGTTTGATCGACACCTGTGGGACAATAGAATGTAGCCATCTTCCCAGATCACCATCATTCCACTTTTGTTGCCAGTTGGCGAGGACTTGCTGACGAGAAATCGTGAAAAATTCGTGGTAGGCGATTTGTCGCTCGTAAATATCGCCTTCCATAGCGCCCACCTTGGCCAGCGAGTCCGCTTTCTCATTGCCCGGGATAGAGCAATGAGAAGGGACCCATACCAAGGTGATGACATGTGAGCTGTTTGATAAAGCACTCAATGACGATCGTATTTCCTGGAGGAAATACGCCGAGTGCTTCATCGGCCTCATTGAACGCATAGCCTCCAGAGAGCTTAGGCTATCCGTAAAAATGAAATATTGGTCAGGTGGAAGTGAGGCAATACGCTCTAACGTGTACGATATAGCTGCTAGTTCAGCAACGTATACCGAACACGGCTTTTGAAGCTTGTATGCGGCGCTATGAAGATCGTGGAATACTCCAAAACCAGTGGACGCATTTATCACCGACCCATCTGTGAAAAATCTCTTCTCGGTGGGGACGTGGCGGTATTTGTTCGCAAAAATAGTTGGGACAATCAGGGCACGGTGAGGCTCTGGAATTCCTTGAATCTCCTGCCTCATTGTGAGATCGAATCTCACGGAAGAACCACTGAAATGATGGGAGACAGCGCGATTGGGGTTGAACGAGGAGGGGCCGATGTCCAGAGTCATGTACTCGTAGTACAAGCTCATGAATCGTGTTTGAGGATTCCGCTCTAGCAGCTTCTCAAAGTTTTCGATCACCAGCGGGTTCATGACTTCACAGCGGATGAGGAACCGGAACGATAAATCCGCAAAACGATTTGTTAAGGGGAGGACGCCCGCAAGAACTTCAAGACTCATGGTATGCGTCGATTGCATACAACCTAGCGCGATTCGAATGCAACGATATTGAATCCTTTGGAGCTTCAATATGTGCGTCCCCGCCGCCGATTGAAAGCAAAAGCTACCGTACTCCAAAATCGAGAGAATGGTGGTCTTGTAGAGTCTTATCAGATCTTCCGGATGGGCTCCCCATGAAGTGCCGGTAATGGAACGAAGGAAATTGATTCGCTGTTGGCATCTCTGCCTCAGATACGCTATGTGTTTTCCCCAAGTGCACTTGGAATCGAACCAGACACCTAAATACTTAAACGACATGCTGTGAGTTATTGTTCTACCCATAAGTTGAAGCTGAAACTGTGCTGGATAAAGCTTCCTAGAAAAAACAACCATCTCTGTTTTCTCCGGAGAGAATTCGATACCCAGTTTCATTGCCCAAGTAGACAAATTATCCAAGGTATCTTGCAATGGTCCTTGCAGGTCCGGTGTTGTTGGTCCAACCATGGAAACCACGCCGTCATCTGCAAGCTGCCTTAGCGTGCAATTTTCGGCCAGACATTCATCAATGTCTTTGACATAGAAGTTGTACAGGAGGGGACTTAAACATGAGCCTTGTGGAAGACCCATGTAGCTGATTCGTGCAATTTCCGTGTTGCCATGAGAGAAGCTCATTCGTTTCTCGGACAACAAATTAAACAGGAAATTGTTGATAATCGGAGAAAGCCCACTCGCATGGAGTTTGTCCGAAAAGATGTCGATGCAAACAGAATCAAACGCCCCTTTAATGTCCAAGAAAACTGAACCCATCTGCTGTTTTTCAGCATAGGCTAATTGGATTTCAGTTGAAAGCAACGCAATGCAGTTGTTCGTCCCTTTGCCCCTACGGAATCCAAATTGCGTATCTGAGAGTAAGCCATTCGCCTCGACCCACTTGTCCAGACGAAGAAGAATCATTTTTTCTAACAGCTTCCGAATACACGACAGCATCGCGATGGGACGGTACGAATTATGATCCGAAGCGGGTTTACCGGGCTTCTGGATGGCGATAACTCTCACTTGTCTCCAATCATCCGGAACAACGTTGAGCTCAAGGAATCGATTGAACAAGTTCAACAATCGCCTCTTTGTGACTTCTGGGAGGTTCTTGAGCAGGTTGAACTTGATTCGATCAATTCCCGGAGCTGAGTTATTGCATGAAAGAAGAGCAATTGAGAATTCTACCATCGAAAACGGGGAGTCCATGTCATCGTTTTCCAGCGGCGGATCGCGAGTGTTGCATCGGACCGGAACCGAATCGGGACAAACCTTACGCGCGAAGTCGAAAATCCACTTGTTAGAGTACTCCTTGCCCTCGTTGACCGACGATGCCGCGTTACGCATTCTCCTGCCGACATTCCAGAGCGTTTGCATGGAAGTCTCTCGCGATAGCCCTTCGACGAACCGACGCCAGTAGCCGCGTTTTTTGGCCCTGACCAAGCTCTTAAACTTTTCCTCTAGCTCCGTATACCGCTCAAAGTATTCGCGGGAACCGTATTTACGAAACTGTTTAAACGCGGTAGACTTCTCTTTATTCACGTCGGTGCATTCCTGGTCCCACCACACAGTGGGGGACGTTTGCGAATGGTAGTGCCAGGAACAGGCTTCGTTTGTGCTTGAAGCGCGCAATCCACTATGAGCCGCGATAGGAAGGAGTACTCATCCAACGGAGAGAGAACGTCGACCGATTCTGAACCGTCACGGACCG